CATTCCTAGTGCTGAACTTGCTGACGATTTGGTGAAACCAGAAACATTTGTCCCAGAAAATACAGCTGATGCTCCAAAATTCATGGAGGCTGCCAAAGATGGTGAGCACCCAAAGACAGAGGAAATCCCTAGTACTGAAGTTGGTGATGATTCATTAAGTTCAGAAATAATTACAATTGAGAGAAGTTTTGATTTGGAAAAACCACTGGTTAAGGAGGAGAAAGAGGATGTCAAAAAAACAGGGGTACAAACTTTGGTAGAGACGGAAAAAGATAGCAAGGTACCTAAAAAAGAGAGTGAAACTGTTGTTGAAATTGCAGAGGAATCCGTGAAATCATCAGAAGTTATTGCACCTGCAACAGAAGTAGTTGCAGAGGAGGTGAAAGATGAGGTTACAAAAGAAAATGCTCCAAATTTAGCTGAGCGTGACAAAGATAGCGTCGGTCCAACAACAGAGATCATTCCTAGTGCTGAACTTACTGAGGATTTGGTAAAACCAGAAGCATTTTTCCCAGAAAATACAGCTGATGCTCAGAAATTGGAAGAGGCCGCCAAAGATAGAGAGGATCGAAAGACAGAGGAAATCCCAAATACTGAAGTTGGTGTTGATTCAGTAAGTTTGGAAGTAATTACAACTGAGAGAAGCTTTGAATTGGAAAAGCCAGTGGTGCAGGAGGAGGAGAAAGAGGATGTTGCAAAAACGAAGATACCAACTATGGAAGAAGCCAAAAAAGAGAGTGCGGTACCTAAAAAAGAGACTGAAACTGTTGCTGACATTGCTGAGGAGTCGGTGAAATCAGAAGAAGTAATTGCACCTGCAACAGAAGTGGTTGCAGAGGAGGTGACAGATGAGGTCCCAAAAGAAAATGCTCCGACTTTAGCTGAGCATGACAAAGATAGTGAGGCTCCAACAGCAGAGAACATTCCTAGTACTGAACGTGTTGAGGACTTGGTGAAACCAGAAACATTTGTCCAAGAAAATACAGTTGATGCTCCAAAGTTGGAGGAGGCCGCCAAAGATGGTGAGGACCCAAAGACAGAGGAAATTCCTAGTACTAAAGTTGGTGATGGTTCATTAAGTTCGGAAGTAAATACAGCTGAGAGAAGCTTTGAATTGGAAATACCACTGGTTGAGGAGAAAAAGCATGTCACAAAACCAGAGGTACCCACTTTGGTAGAGACGGAAAACGACAGCGAGGTACCAAGAAAAGGGAATGAAACTGTTGTTGAAATTGCAGAGGAGTCGGTGAAATCAGAAGAAGTTATTGAACCTGCAACAGAAGTGGTTGCAGAGGAGGTGAAAGACGAGGTCCCAAAAGAAAATGCTCCAACTTTAACTGAGCATGACAAAGATAATGAGGCTCCAACAGCAGAGAACATTCCTAGTGCTGAATTAGCTCAGGATTTGGTGAAACCAGAAACATTTGTCCCAGAAAATACAGCTGATGCTCCAAAATTCAAGGAGGCTGCCAAAGATAGTGAGCACCCAAAGACAGACGAAATCCCTAGTACTGAAGTTGGTGATGATTCATTAAGTTCAGAAATAATTACAATTGACAGAAGTTTTGATTTGGAAAAACCACGGGTTAAGGAGGAGAAAGAGGATGTCAAAAAAACAGGGGTACAAACTTTGGTAGAGACAGAAAAAGATAGCGAGGTACCTAAAAAAGAGAGTGAAACTGTCGTTGAAATTGCAGAGGAGTCCGTGAAATCATCAGAAGTTATTGTACCTGCAACAGAAGTGGTTGCACAGGATGTGAAATATGAGGTCGCAAAAGAAAATGCTTCAACTTTACCTGAACATGACAAAAATAGTGAGGCTCCAGCAACAGAGAACATTCCTAATGCTGAACTTGCTGATGATTTGGTGAAACCAGAAGTAGTTGTTCCAGAAAATACAGCTGATGCTCCAAAATTGGAAGAGGCCACCAAATATAGAGAGGAGCCAAAGACAGAGGAAATCCCTTGTACTAAAGTTGGGGATGATTCAGTAAGTTCAGAAGTAATTACAACTGAGAGAAACTTTGAATTGGAAAAACCACTGGTTAAGGAGGAGAAAGAGGATGCCGCAAAACCAGAGGTACCAACTTTGGTAGAGACAGAAAAAGACAGCGAGGTACCTAAAAACGACAGTGAAACTGTTGCTGAAATTGCAGAGGAGTTGGTGAAATCAGGAGAAGTTATTACACCTGCAACAGAAGTGGCTGCGGAGGAGGTGAAAGATGATTTCACAAAAGAAAATGCTCCAACTTTAGCTGAGCATAACAAAGATAGTGAGGCTCCAACAAGAGAGAACATTCCTAGTGCTGAACTTACTGAGGATTTGGTGAAACCAGAAGCATTTTTCCCAGAAAATACCGCTGATGCTCCAAAATTGGAAGAGGCCGCCAAAGATAGAGAGGACCCAAAGATAGTGGAAAGCCCTAGTACTAAAGT